AGCAGGGAGCCCGATGCGGGACTCGATCCAGGGACTCCAGGATCATGACCTGAGCCGAAGGCAGTCGCTTAACCAACTGAGCCACCCAGGCGCCCCAAGAAGCCGATCTTTCTTGTTGGCTTTGTGGAACACAAACTTAAGAGAGTGTACAGTTAATCTTGGGGGCACAGTGGGTAGAGCAGTATGAAAGTCAGAAATCCGTTTCGAACTCATATACAGCAGAGGCTGCATCTTACCGGTCTGTCTCGCTTTGCATGCTTCTTAGCTATTGATGTTCCTGAGTTACAATTCCTGTTAAATGAGTGGGATGCCAAGGACTCATCCACATGTTGTCCAGCCCTCACTGGTCGATGCTTAAACATTGCGGGGCTATTAATGCTGAAACTGCGTTTTCTCTTTTTAGTAAGAGATGCTAAAAACCTTGTACCTATGGACCCCAATGGTTTGTCAGACCCTTACGTGAAACTGAAACTGATTCCCGACCCCAAGAGTGAGAGCAAGCAGAAGACCAAAACCATCAAGTGCTCCCTCAACCCTGAGTGGAACGAGACATTCAGATTGTAAGTTAAAATTATCACTGCCCAGCGTGGGCGGTGGGGGTTGGCTTCTGGGCCACCTGAGATCAGAGAGTGCCCCTCCTGGCTTCCATTTCATTTCCTCCCTCCCTCTCCTTCCCTCCCTCCCTCTCCTTCCCTCCCTCCCTTTCTCCCTCCTCCCTCCCCTTCCTCCCCTTCCATCTGCATTTTTGCATTGCAAGCCAAGTAAAAATTGGAACTTATTTTTTTTTAATAGAGTTGAGAATGTCTATGGTGTGGGGAGTGGGTGGGATAGAAAGTAGTGTGATGTGTTGCTAGGTGAAGGCAAGTTGTGGGAGAAGCTCTGGTCTCAGTGAACAGTGGGACATAACCCATAGGGTGTGGTGATAACCCCTCTAGGGCTGAGTCTGTGGATGTGGATATGCTGGGTCTGCAGCCTGTTGAGAGTTCTCTGCCACCTTCCATGGAGGATCTTCCCGGGCCAGTGCTCCAAGAACCTGGGCTCACTTTTTGATGCATCTGGGCCCACAAGGGTTAGTGACATCAGCCAATATTTAAGGAGCATATCCCAGTTATAAAAAGCACTCTATTGAATGGTCTCAGTTCATTGACCATTTCATCCCCGTTTAACCAATGGGGCTTATAGAGGTTAAAGAATGTGGCCAGAGTCCCCCAGCAAATATGGGGTCGAGGAGGATTCAGCTTCTGACACTCTGACTCTGGAGGCTACGGGCCAAAAGCACGATTCCTTGTGGGAGCCCCATCCCCCGTTTCCTCTCTCAGGGCAAAAGTGGGGGTGCACCTCAGCCTCAATCAAGGACATGCCTCAGAACAGTTTCCCCCCACCAGGACTGACAAGACTGCTTCCTCCACAGATGTCCTCAGCCTCATGCTAACTCCCGTGTGTGCAACCAGTCATGCAATTATATAATTGATATCCATATCTCTTATAGCGACGGTGTCAATAGGGTTTCCCGAACATCACGAACTCTATTAAGACTTAAGGCAGCAGAAGCAGCTAGAACTGCTTCTGATGGAGCTGGCCCAGGTCCTCCACCCAGCTGAGCCACAGGCTGTGGAACTTGAGAAGCTCTCCCTCCCTGGGGAGCTTGCCTGGGAGGGAAATGGAATATGTTGCTTGCAACAGCTTGTAATCTTTAAAAATGCCTACCTTCAGGCCTTGTCCTCTTAAACATTTCATCTGCTTGAGAAATCACTGTAACCTCCGCTGACTTCTCTCTTTTTGCGCTTGGTAGCCAACTGAAAGAATCGGACAAAGACAGAAGACTGTCTGTAGAGATTTGGGATTGGGATCTGACCAGCAGGAATGACTTCATGGGATCTTTGTCGTTTGGGATTTCCGAACTGCAGAAAGCTGGTGTTGATGGCTGGTAAGCAGGATTTTGCTTTGAAAGCTACCATATAGCTTGGTGCATCGATTATGGGAAGAAGGATGTTTTCCTTTTTGTACTAAAAGTGAAATACTAAAGCAGAGTCAGAGTGATGGTTGGTAGATCAGATCTGCCTCATGGAAATGTTTTATTTGGTCCTTGTACTTAAAAAGAAAAAATCAGTTGCTAGTATTTTCAAAATCGGGACATTTTCCATAAAAATCTGGACTTCTGGGGGTGCCTGGGTGGCTCAGTTGGTTAAGCATCCAACCTTTTTTTAAAGATTTTATTTATTTATTTGAGAGAGAGAGAGCATGAGCAGGGGGGAGGGGCAGAGGGAGAGGGAGAAGCAGACTCCCCGCTGAGCAGGGAGCCTGATGCGGGGCTTGATCCCAGGACCCTGGGATCATGACCTGAGCCTAAGACAGATGCTTAACTGACTGAGCTACCCAGGCATCCCAAATGTCCTACTTTTGATCTCAGCTCATGTCTTCATCTCAGTGTTGTAAGTTCAAGCCCTGCATTGGGCTCCATGCTGGGCATGGAGCCTACTTTAAAAAAAAAAAAAAATCTGGACTTCTGGTTTGCAAAGCCAGAAATATCTGGATGCACTGGGCCTAGAAGGCAAGAATTGAGAACAGGTGAGAAGTTAGTTAATGCCTCCTTCAGACAGGACACGAATTTTCTGTTTGCCATAGTCTCCACCATCCCCTATTGCTTTATATCCATCTAACTTTACTTGACTGGCCCCATGGGCACTAAAGTGGCTCTCACAATATACCCTAAAGATATACGCAATCCACTGTCAGATTCTGGCTCCGTAAGAAGATGCTCCTTCTTTGGGACTGCTTACCAAGCCTGGCCACGGAGGTGCTGGGAGGTTACGGCAGTGGGCAGCTGCAGTGTCTCCTTTGTTCTGCAGTTTTTGCTTCGTTCCCTTCTCATGGCAAAAAATCCTTGCTCAGTATTCCCAGCGAAGAGACTGGGTGAGCCGCCTTAGCATTTGTTGGTTTCACCGTCATCTGAGTAAAAGGAGTCAGAATACAAAGTCCAACCTGGCACCATAGCTTTGAGCAAAGCGGGGATTACTGGCTGCCCTTATCTCTTTAAGAGAAATTGTCTCCTTTCTGAATGGTCTCACTGGGGGCTTTTCCAGTTACAAGTGAAAGAAAATAAAAATCAGACCAGTTTAGCAAGAAAGAGAATGTGTCACCTGGACCACATATCCTTTCCATTGCTCACCGTACAACCTCCTTGTCTCTCCTCCCTTTTCATCATAGACTTTGTTGTTGTTTTTTAAAGATTTATTTATCTGAGAGAGAAAGAATGCGATCTGGGAGGGCGGGGGGAGTGCAGAGGGAAAGAGAGAATCTCAAGCAGATTCCCCGCTGAGCGCAGAGCCTGACGCAGGGCTCCATCTCACCACCCTGAGATGAGACCAAGAGTCAGACATTCAACCGACTGAGCCACCCAGGTGCCCCTGTATTTATCACAGACTTTCATTCAAATAGATTTTGAGTCTCTCTCTAGTCCATTCTAGTCACTAGAGATCCGTCAGGTATAAGACAGACATGCCCTCATGGTGCTTAGCTTCTGGAGTGAGAAGAAATGACACCAATGACTGATCAATGACAACATGATGACAGATGTGAAGGAGGATGAAAGCCAAGTGGGTACAAAAAAACCAATAGTACTAAGGTGTGTTAAAGTACAGATCACAAACGGTTAACAACAGAATTCTCAAAAAAATAGGGAAGGAGCATTTGTCACAGTTTTCCTTAGCTCACGAATGGGGAGACCAGGAACATCAATGACTGATTCTGAAGGTTTGAGAAGCTGAGACTGGTATACCAGGAAACATAGGAATGCTGAAGTCACTTTGCTAAGTTAGAGGTAAAGCCGGCTGCCAAACAGGGCAACGAAATCACAACCTTGGAGGCGATCTGTCTACCGGACTGGAAGAACTTTTTTTCTTCTTCTTTTTAAAAGATTTTATTTTTAAGCAACCTCTACACCCAACGTGGGGCTCGAACTCACAACCCAGAGATCAAGAGTTGCATGCTTACCCGACTAAAGCCAGCCAGGCGCCCCAGACTGGAAGAACTTCTAAAAGTTAGCGTTTGTCTTTGCAGAGCTGGGAGGCCATCTGGGCCCAACTGTCTTGTGGATTATAAGTAACAGTTCTAAGTAATAGACTAATAAGTAGTAGTGGGGAAGGAGATAACTATTTAGAAAATGTTCTTGCATGACAGTAAGAGGTCACGCTGCCATCTTTTTGCCATTTTCCTGTTTCACATAGGTGCGGCAATTCTCCACCAAATACTAGCAAACCAAATCCAACGATACATTAAAAAAGAAAGTCATTCACTGCGATCAAGTGAGATTTATCCTGGGGATGCAAGGGTGGTTCAATCAGCATGATACATCACATCAACAAAAGAAAGGATAAAAAAAAATACAATCATCTCAATAGATGCAAAAAAAAAAAAAGGCATTTGACAAAGTACGACATCCATTCATGATAAAAACTTGGGTAATTTTTCTTAACGTATGGATGATCTGACTTTGCATGCTGCTGTTAGCTCTAGTGACAGATTGCATGTTCCTTCCTCTTTAAGTCAGGCGTAAGGACGTTAAAGAGAAAGAATGTATGATCTCCCAGGGGGTCTAAGTGAGACAGGAGAGAGAGAACATAATGATAATAATTACCAGAGCAATAGCTACCACTTACTGACTCTTAACTGGATGCCGGGCTCTGGGCTGATCACTTTCCAGGTGTCCTGGAGTCACACACTGATACCCACGAATAGCCTCTTTCTTTTCTGTGATGCACCCAGACTTTCTTAGGCAGTTTCGTGACCTCCTGGTGGTGATAAGGGGACCCTCCTGCATGTGGTATGCCTTCTGGGCTTGACTGCTGCACAGTAGCCGATCCTGCCTGGTTCCTGAACCCGTGCCCACTGAGGCTGGACGGGTTCCCCTACCCACCCCTGCCAGCTTTGGAGCCTCATTTCTGGCTTCCTGTTGGAGTCCCAGGTCCTGGCCTGTTGCCTCTTGTTGTGAGGTCCCTCCACATAGTGTCCTCTTTTTCCCACTCTGCAGGCTACCTGTGTGAGCCCTTATTTCTCAGCCTCCTGCATGCGGGCCAGGAGTGCTGTCTGAGTGATCCCTATATCCCTGGCCTGCTGCAGCTGCGATGTGTGGCCCTCCACATAGGTCTCTGCCCAGGGCAGAGAAGGCTGGGCAATGCCCCTCTGCTTTTGCCTTATCCTTGCTCACTTCTCATGGTTCTTCAGGCCCAAACGGTCAGGACCCTCTCCCACTGGTACCACCTCTTCCTGGTCTGATGCCGGTCCCATCTGCTCCCTGGAAAGAGCAGAGTGCAGGGAGGACAAAAAGACTGAGTCCAAATTATCCCCACACGTACACGTCATCATCCTTCAATTCTCCCACCAGTTCTGGGCGGAGCGTCGTTCCTGGGATCAGAGTAGTCAAGCAACGTGTGAAAGGACACACAGCTCGTACGTGACGGTGCTTGAGTTTGGGTCCAGGTCTTTGGGATGCCAGGGTCTAAGCACATGCACATCCCATTTTGCCTCCTGGTACAGGGGTTTGGCAGAGGCCTAGAAGGTAGATGGGTCGTTTTGACCTTGGCTCTCCTAAGTGGATGGATGCTTTGTGACTTCAGGTGAATCACTTCACCTCTCTGTACTCCAGCCTTCTCAGCCATTACAATTCCATTAGTCAGGGCTAATTGCAGCATCCCTCATCCCTCCTCCTAGGAGAGTTGTGAAATTGATGGAATTATAGGAGGGAACTTTTGCTAAATAAAAGCCCTCTTCAGATTTTGCAGATTAAAGTCCTCTTTTGCAGATAAAAGCCCTCTTTGTTTTTGCAGCTAAAAGTCGCCCCTAAACGATTCAGGGCCAAGACATCTGTGATGCTGTCTTGACTGTAAATGGATCAAATTCTAGAAATTTGGATTCTTGTCCCTGTGGGGTCTTGGGTGAGTTCCATGCCATCTCCGAGACTCAGTTTCCCCATCTGGTAGGGGATGAGCTCTCCCAGCTATTCTGTTGTACTGTAATTGAAGACCATGCAGCAGAAAGGCAAAAGGCTGCTGTCTGAGTTCCCAGATGTGGTGTGCCAGCCTCAGGCCCCTCATCTGCCACTTGGCCACCAGCCCCGCATCTGTTGTCAGATCCACTTCTTTGTTTCTAATTTTATTTGTTTTTGCTGTCTCCTTTCCTTCCCCTTGTTTTCCAGGGGTTCATCTGTTCTGCTGTGGTTTATTTTTCTGCAAAGAATGAGCTCTGGGATTTACGTATCAATTCTGTGTTTCAGTCTTCTTCTTTTCTGTGGGTTTGTTGGGTGGTTGCCTGTGAATTTCAGTCGAACACTTTGCTAATTTATTTTTCCTCTCTTAATGGACTCTGCTCTTCAAGAATAAAGAACAGGCATTGGGGGGAATAAAGATTTCCTCCGAGCTGTGATATGTCGCACTCCAGCTTTTGTTGCTTGCTCAAGGTCTGCAATTGTGGTTTTTGTTTTTTGTTTTAAAGAGTTTATTTATTTATTTGTCAGAGAGAGAGAGCACGAGCTGGGGGAGCGGCAGGCAGAGGGAGAAGCAGACTCCCCACGGAGCAGGGAGCCTGATGCGGGACTCGATCCCAGGACCTTGGGATCATGACCTGAGCCGAAGGCAGATGCTTAACCGAGTGAGCCACCCAGGCGTCCCATACAATTGTGTTTTTAATTTCCTTTCAAGCGTGCTTTTATTTGGGCATTTTGGAAATCACTGGTGTTAGCTTTTTGTTTCATTTTTCATTATTAATGTCAAATGACAGTGTTGGTACTTTACGGTCAGAGAATATGTCCTGTACACTTTTCTTTCTTTCTTCCTTTTTTTTTTTTTTTTTTCCAATTTAGCTTAGTTCAGTATTACTAAATATTCTGTGGACACTTAGTAAAAAGATTACCTTTACTACTTGTAGGTCATG